TGGCCGTTATTCCTTGTTATGCCAGGGGGCGCTAGGGGGTGCTCTCCCAAACCCTTCTGGTCCCCCCTAGTGAGTTTATAGACTGTCACCAGGTTCCCCCCCCCCCATCTGGCTGGATGGGAAAATCTGGCCAGGAGCTGTCCCACTTAACAGGAAATACTGGTTCAAATCCCTCTAGAAGAGGAGGACCTACAACTTGAGTCCCCTCTTTGCTGGGAAAGAAGACTAAACATTTAGCTACTGGGCTAATATGGGGAAAGGTCTTCCTCCATCACCATCATTTTGGCTCTGGCCGGTATGCATGTAGGCATACAGGATGGGGGTTTTTTTGCTAGCTGATGAAAGAGAATCTGAAATTGCATCAGTGCCAAAAACTGCAGTTACATAGCTGTATAATTGCTGTTTAGGTGCATGAAGTGAAATGACTACCATTACTGCTCAGAATATCTATTAATATTATTTTGTGATTTGCACTATCTGATGAGATTATTATGGCTTAATAATATTGGAACAATAACATTTAACCTTATTGCTTTAGAGATCAGTTCAATAGTTAGCTATGGATTCTTTGATAAAGCCAGTCTATGCATTATGCATTTTGCAAAGAAAACCTTATGACTTTCATGGATATCTGTAGCTGTTCAAAGGTAAGTTTGGCAAATATGTGTCAAAAATAAGTATGAGCATGAGGAACTTGTACTCTCGCTTGCTTGCAGGACCATTAATCTCATATTTTGGAACTTCATCTCATTAGTAAAACAGCAGTGGTCTTCATTCTTCAGTACTGCTGTTGGTGATCCACAGCTGAGCTCACAAATTGCACATGTTCCAGCTGTTGTTTTGCACACCTTAAGAGCAGGGAGGCATAGTGAGCTACATTAGTCAGAAGTCAAGTAGAAGTTAGGGTAGATTTGCACCTTATAGACTACTCAAAGGGTGTGGGGGACGGCAAGACTTTTATTCATGAGTCTGAGATTATTTTCAGAGTGAATAAGGAAAAACTTATATATATAACGTGTGTGTGTATATATATGTATGTATGTATGTATCACAAGATTTCATGGGCTGAGGCTAATTTCATCAGATGCTCTGAAAGTGCACAAAGCAGGATATAAGAAGGAGAGAAATTTCAAAGGGCAGAAGGGAGGGGGAGAGAGGGGACAAAGGAAAGGGGAAAGTGGAGTTAATCAGGGACTAGGGATTTTTATCCCATTACCTGGTTTAGTTTTTGTGACCCCTTTGTTCCTTTTGGTTTATGGCTTGCTTGCCTCATCCAGCACTGCCCCCCTCTTCTGTCTTTTGTATTCAAATTTCTCTCTCTTCCTTATACACTGGTTTGCGCAAATTATTTTAAAGCATCTAATGAAGTGAGTTTAAGCCCACAAAAGCTTCTGCTATATATATACTTTTATACTTTGGTTAGTATATAAGGTGCAAGTCTACCCTACCTGCATATCTGTTTGCACATCTTATGATAGTCATCCCTCTGTAGAGCCAGAGATTACTGCATTTTAAGAATACATAATATTAAATTTCACAATTCAGAAAATATACTTCCATTTTTAAAACACATAAGCCACATCCACATGTGCATGAATGTTTGGCTCCCCAGGGACAACTATCAGTGGTGCACCTTGTGTCACCACTAGCTGTCCCCAGGGAATGCTGTGCCATGGGCCCTTTGGTGTGCAGCAAGGTACCCTGGGTGGGGTAGAGAAGGCTGGGGCCAGCTCTGGCTGGCCTGGCTCTGGTTTGAATGGTGCATACTGCCCCCGTGTGCGACACTCTGCTTTTTCTTCCTGTGGGTTTTTTTTGATCCCTGGATATCCACACGTCAACCCCCCCCCATGCTGCTCCCTTGCAGTGCTGAGAACAACTGAATGTACAGTATGTGTCACCACAGATGCTGCAGCTTACCTGGAAACAGCCGTACAGTCCAGATCAAAGAGCAAAATATTTTAGATTAATTTCTGAATCATAATATAGTATTCATTATAAAATGTACTAAGCTGTACTAAGCAAGATACTGTAACTACTGATAGCTGATGTAAATTTCCAACATACAAATCCTTTACAGATGCACACCTTATTGCAGGTCTTTTTATTATGTATGTGCATGAGTCTCAATAGCTTTTTGACAAAGTCTTAAAGAATCATAACTGTGGAAAGGATGTGTATCAGAGCAATTTTGGGAATCAATGATTTTTTAAGTTCTAAAAATCTAGTGTATTCTGGTTTGGGTGTTGATGTGCATATATGTACCTGGACATACATGATGGTAGCAATCTTTTCTAGACCAAAACATTAGTTTAATTTAAGGGGTTAAATCCTCACTTCAAGGGTTTAATATGTAAACATTTCCCCTAAACATCAGTATATTTACAGAAATATATTAATACAGGATTTATAAATAGCTAATGATGATAGTATAAACTGAGACGAATGTATGTCAATCCATGGTTTTCAGTAAACTCTGCCCTTCCCCCGTTCTTTTTATTCTTTGAGTTTTAACATTTATTTTTTATTCAAATCTTGGCACTTGTGTTACAGAAAAGGTTTAATATAATGCAAATGCAGGTGGATTGCTTGACACTTTGCATGTCCCAAAAATGCATAAGGCTACAATATGTCTAAAATAGTCTACCATTACTGTATATTCTAAACACTGCTTATGATTCGCAAAACTCTCTTTAGCAGATTCTAAAAGTCTGACTCCCTCGAGTTTTTCCTCATTCACTCTGAAAATAATCTCAGGCTCATGAATAAAAGTCTTGTCTATTTTTTTCCCCCCAGAAACAGTTAAGGGCTTGGGTTGAGAAATTTAGCATTTAAAGCTGTTTGGAATTTTTAGATGTTCCTTGGAAAGACCATATTGAAGATGTTTGCGTTTTTTTTAAACAAACCATTCATGTTAAAATGAAATAAAAGTAAACTCCTTTCCATGTATGGCTCACTTATTAAAAAAATAGCTGAATGTACTGAAATAAATATCACATGCAGCATATTGCACAACATTAATTTGGGGTCTATCATAAAATATATATAAATTATGGGTTTGGATCACTGCAGCGCTATTTCAGTGTAATGATAGCCTTATGCCATCAACACAAATCAAATTATTTCAGCATAAAACTTGGAATCAGGTTTAAAGGTGCTTGGGTCTTAATTGATTACCATTTTAAAAAGTAATGTTAGTGATTAAATTATCAGACGGACAGTTGAAACAAATTGAAGCTCCTCACTTCCCGTCCACATCACATCTCTAAAAACAAAAATGGTAAGGCAAGAGCAACTCCTATGTAAATTAACCAAAATTGCTCCATATGTCATATACTTGTCTCATTCTTTTTCTGTAGAGGCCATCTCTTTGGAAAGAAGATAGACCAGTCTCCAGTTATTGTCTTTCCACAATGGTGTCACTTTGTGCCAAATATGACATTGATTTTCATGAGGGGTACAACTGATTTCATGAGGGGAACAACGGCCTAATAGGAGATAGACCAAAATTGCCAGTTCATATCTGACAAGCCAAGGAGAAACAGTTAATTTCTGTTAACGACTGTTGGTTGATATTAGCTTGTTTTAAATTTGAGGCAAAATCTTACAACTGAAAGGTTCCAAATCTTATTAGCAATTCCCAAAGAGTGCTGGCATCGCTAGGATTAAGTTGCATATGTATATTTTTGTAGATTTACATTTTGGTGAAGTTGATGGCCCTATTTATTCATCTTTCCCTCTGCTTATCCCCAAGCTACAAATCAATTTTCTAGTATCCTAGTGTTTAATGTTGTTTTATAAAACTAATTATATCCTAAAGCTGTTTTGAAGCACACATGTGCTACAGTACTTAAATGCAAGCATTACTCAATACAGTTTTACTGGAGCCATCCCTGGGACTTACTTGTGCTGGATCCACATCATTCAGCATAACTATTGATGTGCAGTGATAATCTAGGACCAGTCTCCAGAAATCTTTGACAGTATTTGGTAAAGGATGCTGGGTAACTATAAATGCCGAAGGTTGTTTATAGCTCTGCAAAAAAATAACAAAAGTGAACATGATAGAATTGATAAGAGGTGTAATCTGTCCAGTAAATTGTCAGTAATGGATCCAACTCCTAGGATTAGAAGTATTATTTTTATTCTGAAGATTACTCAGAGTTTTCTGATATTCCCCGAGATCTTGTTTGCTTGCAAACCTAATAAACTGCGATTCTTACGGTTTTTCAGATCATATTTTTAAAACTCCTATGCCCTAGGTTACAGTAGGCAAAAGAAAACAAGGAGACAGGGAGAGACAGACAGAGAGAAGCAGAATCTTGCCTCAGAATAGCACTCACAAAATCCTGTACAAGTTTGTATTCATGACAGGCAGATTAATTGTGACTGCTTGTTTTTGGTTGTTAGTATGAGTGATTCCAGTATAAGGAAATTCCAAGTAATTTCTAGGAAATATTGTTAAAATTGTGTCCATCTGGCAACAGAGAAGTATCTTAAGAGAAAAAATGCCAGATTCTTTCTGAGTTTAATTATTAGTCTACATCACTCATTGAACTATCAGTGAACTTCTGTATACTAGTACAGACTCATGTGCTTCCTGACTGCTGAAGCCAATTCTTGGTAGAGGACTGTCACAGTCCCCACTGCCAACTGTTCTGAAAGAAGCTTGTATACACTAATCTTAAACAATTCTGTTTTTACATCAACCTTGTGGCCAACTGTTTTGAATCTTCCTTTAGAAGACGGGTAACTGAGAAGATTATTGGGAATCTCAAAGAATCTAAAATGTCATTTTGGTTACGGGGTTGAAAACCCCCCTCATTTCTTTGCTCAGTGATCTCCTTTTAACAGTGGATAATCATCAGGTACCTATACTGCAATTATTACATCAGACATAGGTAAGAGGAGAATATTGATTTGCCTGCACTTGCATACAGAACAGGACACCTCTTAAGGGGCTCCACCTTTTTGGCTATGAGACTTCAGAAGGTTTTAATTGAACAATTGTTCTTTGACATGACCCTTCATGGGACAATGCATCATCCTTATTGTTCAAAATAACACAGAGCCATCAAAAGGGTTAAGGAGGGTTAATGGATAATGACCAGATCTGAGTCTCCTCCTTTACTCATGCAATGGGGAGAGAGTACTTTGTTCAGTGTCTGAAGGACACTGGGATGCACAACTTCTGGATCGTGGCCCATTCATTATAGAAAAGATTTCAGGGTCATGGCTGGAACAGTAAGTGTGCCTGTGATTCTGGGCAGAAAGAAAGGCCTTGATGTGGCCAATTCAGCTGCCATAAGTTTGACAAGTCCCAAGGATGTTGCAACTTGCTGCAGGGCCAGGGGCTGTTGCTGAAGCAGTACTCAGCTGCCTGTTTCCAGGACCAGGAAAATGGAAAGGTAACAGAACACCCTTGCCCCTTGTAGAACAGCTAGGTTGGTTCAGGTATACCTGAGCTACAACCTAATAATTTGACTTCACAGGTAAACAGTTTTTAAGACAAGAACTTCAAACCTGAATACTAAGGCTTCACCCCTTTGTACATTCACAGGACAAAATTATATTGACCCTCTAGGACAGGGGCAGGCAAAATATAGCCCACAGGTCGCATGCAGCCTGCCAGGCCATTCTATCCAGCCTGCATAGCTCCTAAAACATTTTGAAAAATGAATATTTATCTGCTCCTGGCTGCCTATCAAAAATGACAGGAGCTAGGAGCAGTAGGACCTAGGGGAAGCTGACAGGACTCAGGAGCAAGGGTGGCCCAGCTGCCTCCCACCCCTGTTCCCACCACCTGGAAGGCTCTGCGGCTGCTTTCACTGCTTCCCTGCAGCCTGCCGGACACTCCAGCACCATGTGGCCCCTGTCTGCATCACTGGACTGCGCCAGTACCCCAGGGCCAGGAGAGGGAGTGGTGTGTGTGTGTGTGCGTGCGTGCGTGCGTGCGTGCGTGCGTGTGTGTGTGTGAGCACAATGAGGGAGGGGGAGAGAGAGAGAGAGCAATGAGGCAGGGAAAGTGTGTGTGTGTGTTCATTTGTAGGGGAGTCCCACACACACCCCAGCATATACATGCACCCACACCCCTCTCGCACTGCCATACACTCAGAACCCCACCCACCTCACCCTGCACCTTCCTTGCAGTCACTTTG